TGTCTCTCTCCCTGTTGCAAGTTTTGTTACATCAATAAGGCCGACCAAAAGAGATGCTCTTCCACTATTGCAGTTCTTGCTCCTGTAATAACATCTCCGAGACGCGTCCTCCTTCTTGTTGCAATTTTTTCTGTGCCAACTGCGCCTTTAAAACCCCGCCTCCTTTCCATTGTTGCAAGTATTGCCCGTGCAACAACACCAAAAGGACATTAGTCAAGCAATAACACCATCTCAGCACGTCTCCTTCTCTCTATTGCATATATTGATCTTGCAACACCACTGAGACACGTTCTTCTCCCCCAGGTTGTAAATCTTGCTCTTGCATCAACACCAATAGCAGTCTTCCTTCTCTCCCTTGTTGCATATATTGGTATTTCCACATTGCCCTTTGACAGGTCCACTTTCCTTAATGTTGCAAATGTTGTTCCTATAACATCACCAGTGATATAAATCCCCTTACATTTGTTGCAGGTCTTGCTCTTGCAACAACAGCTTTAACTCACGCCCTCCTCTCCTTATTGCAAATCTTATTTTAGCAACAACGCTGCCGTGACCAGGATCCCCCTCTCAATTGTTTTCAATATTGCTCTTGCAACAGTAAGTCACCCCCTTTCATCCATTACAAAGCTTTCTCTGGCCATAACATTCCTAATAGTCGTTTGTCTTCAATCTTATTTTATTAACTATGTCAATTTTTCAGTGTCATTTTCTCTCTATTGAAAGTCTCGAGTTTGGAACAATATCTTTAAGGGAGTTTCCCCTCCCCCATGTGGCAGGCAATGATTCTGCAACACCACCACAATTACACATCCCCGTCTCCCCTGCCCTGCACCTTGCAACAATAATAACACCAAGAAAATATGCCTACTTTTTTTCTCCTTTTGCAATATTGATCTCACAACAACAACACTTCAACACGTCCCTCTCCCTCCTGTTGCAAATCTTTCCACAGGTAACAACACCTGTAAGTCACGTTCCTCTCTCCTTGATGTAGGTCGTAACAACAGGACCACTGAAACACATTGCTTCTCCTTCCTTTGCAATGTTGAAGCACATGGAAATATTTCTTCCATATGTTGAGAGTTTTGTTCTTGCTATATAACAGAGAGACTATTATCTTTCTCTTATTGCAAAAATCTCTCCAGCAACAACATGCGTGATATATAATCCCTTTCTTCCTTATGCAACAACAACAACAACAACAGTAAATCAATTTCCTTTCCTACATTATGCAATATTGATCTGGCAATAAAAGCAGTTGAACATAACCTCTCATTGCAATATTGATCAAAAGAAAACATCATTAAAATGATTCCCTTGCAATATTGATCCAGCAACAACATCTCTCTCACACACACGCGCGAGACCCTTTCCCTCACACACAAAAACCCCCTCACAGACACATAAAACCACCCAACACACACACACACACAAACCACCTAAAACACACACATACACAACACAACACAACACACACACAACACATACAACACACACACACGCCCCCTTTCCCTCACACACACTAAATCTCACACTAACAATACCATCCAACTCTCCTCTTCCTCATCTCTGTCATCTACCTGAAACCTCTCACACCTGATTACCCTTTCCATCTCATCGGCCCAGCTGTTCCAAGGACTACAGGCAGGACATTATGTAGTAAATGGTTGAGGGTAATGGGAGGGGAGGGGAGGGATGGGGAGGGGAGAGATGGGGAGGGGAGGGATGGAGAGGGGAGAAAGGGGAGGGGTTGTTAGGGGTTGGTTAATGGTTGTTTATCCTGTGTGTTTAAAATCCCTTTGAAGAGAGTAGTGTCTAGGGGAGTGTGGAAGTGTCTGGGAGGGAGTTGGAGTGTCTGGGAGGGGGTGGGAATGCCTGGGTGTGTGTGTGTGTGTAAGGAGGCAGGCAGATGGGATTTATTGGTTAGGCTTGTGTCCTTCCTTCTCATTCCCCTCTCCCTTCTTTCCCTCTCACTCTCCTCTCTCTCTCCCCACTCCCCCTCTCTCTTCCCACTCCCCTTCTCCTTCCCCACTCCCCCCCCTATCTCCCCTTGCCCCTCTCTTTCCCCACTCTCCCTCTCTCTCCCCTCCCTCTCTCCCTTTCTCCCTCTCTCTCTCCCTTGTTTAATTTCTATTGTTTAATGGTCGTTTATGGTCCATCTGTCTGTCTGTCTGGTGATACAAGAAGGATTATGGTCTGTTGTTGTCTGTGAGGAGTCTGTGAGTGTCTGCTGTTGTCTGCTGTTGTCTGTTTAGGTCAGTGAGTGGTTGAGTGGGGTCTTCCTGCCTTTCACGAGGGATATTCTACCTGATAAGAATAAGCCTCTCTAGGATTTACAAGGCGCTTCCTACTTCCACTCCTCCTTCCTCTCCTTCTCTTTCTTCTCCTTCGTCTCCTTTTCTTACCCCTTCCTCCTCTTCTTTCTTCTCCTTATCTTCCTTCTCCTCCGACTTTTTTTCTTCCTCCTCCTCTTATTGCTCCTCCGCCTACTTCTTCTCTTTCTTCTCGTCCTCCTCCTCCTCCTCCGCCTCCTCCTTCCCCTCTTCCTCCTTCTCCCCTCTTCCTCCTTATCCCCTCTTCCTCCTCCTCCTCCCCCTCTTCCTCCTTCTCCCCTCTTCCTCCTTATCCCCCTCTTCCTCCTCCTCTTCCTCCTTCTCCCCCTCTTCCTCCTCTTCCCTCCTTCTTCCTTCACCCCCTCCCCTCTTTCTCTTCCTTCTCCCTCTCTTCCTCTTCCTCATCCTGAATTATTTAGTCACTAGTGTTGTGTTCGCCTCTGACATAAGACAAGAGAAGAACCTTTACTGTATGTTATATTATGGACATGTTTATTTCTGTCTTTGTTTGTGTTTGTTTGTTTGTTTGTGTCTCTCCTTCTTTGTTTGTCTGTCTGTCTGTCTAAAATTCGAAGTTAAAGTTGGACAAGAACAACATTATTTTCATACTCTCTCTCTCTCTCTCATATGCTTTATAGGGCTATCAAGCGTAAAGAGTTTGTTAACTTCTGTAATAAAACGATGATGAAAAAATTGAACTTTATGTTTCTTGTTTGTAAATAGATGCAGCAATAAGGTGGTGTAAATGGGGGCGTAAATGGGGTGTAAATACGTGTATATTTGTAGTGTAAATGGGATGTGTAAATGGGTGGTTTAAATATGTTATGTAAATTGGGTAGTATAAATGAAAAGTGCAAATTTATTGTGTAAATGGGATTGGTGTAGTTTATAAATGGGCAATGTAAATAGTGTTGTAAATACATGGTGTTTGTGAATGGGTGTTGTAAATAGATGTTGTTATTAAGTGATGCAAATAGTTGGTGTTTTTAAATAAGTGGTGTAAATGGTGTCATAGATTTATTAATATTATTGTAAATAAGTTTCATGGCCATTAAGTGCTCGTAATCAAGTGTTAAATGATCGTACTCAAGGGGTTAAGTCATCATACTCAAGGGGTTAAGTCATCGTACTGAAGGGGTTAAGTCATCGTTCTCAAGGGGTTAAGTCATCGTACTCAAGGGGTTAAGTCATCATACTCAAGGGGTTAAGTCATCGTACTGAAGGGGTTAAGTCATCGTTCTCAAGGGTTAAGTCATCATACTCAAAGTTAAGTCATCATACTCAGGGTTAAGTCATCGTACTGAAGGGTTAAGTCATCATACTCAAGGGGTTAAGTCATCGTGCTCAAGGGGTTAGAATCATCATACTCAAGGGGTTAAGTCATCATACTCAAGGGTTAAGTCATCGTACTCAGGGTTAAGTCATCATACTCAGGGGGTTGGTCATCGTACTCAGGGGTTAAGTCATCATACTCAAGGGTTAAGTCATCGCTCAAGGGTTAAGTCCTTCATACTCAAGGTTAAGTCATCATACTCCAGGGATTCGATCATCGTACTCAGGGGTTAGAATCATCATACTCAGGGGTTAAGTCATCATACTCAAGGGGTTAAGTCATCGTACTCAAGGGGTTAAGTCATCATACTCAAGGGGTTAAGTCATCATACTCAAGGGGTTAAGTCATCGTACTCAAGGGGTTAAGTCATCGTTCTCAAGGGGTTAAATCATCATACTCAAGGGGTTAAGTCATCGTACTGAAGGGGTTAAGTCATCGTACTCAAGGGGTTAAGTCATCATACTCAAGGGGTTAAATCATCGTACTCAAAGGGGTTAAGTCATCGTATTCAAAGGGTAAAGTTAAACACAGTAATGACAACCAATCACTTTATAATCAGATCAATTTACACTCTCTAAATCAACAATCATTTACCAAAACATTTACAATCAAAAGTAATCCAAACACGTTTACTAAAATCTTGGATTGTAACAACACAGTCATTAAGATTTACAATATGAGATGTACAGTTACGGTCAAATTTCCCTGAACATTTGATAATACCTATAGCATCTACTTCAGGGTCATATATAACGCTGTTTTTTCCTCACTATATCGAAACCACAAACCGTAATTACACACACACTTTAACACACACAAAATCTAAGTAAATACATTAAAATTCCTGTCATTCTCTCACCTAATGGTCTGCTAAGTGTCCAGGGAATTGTGAACGTAATTGTATCTGTCATTTCGGGCGTAAAGTTAATCAGTTTATGTCAGGTTAACGTCTGTAGAGGGAAGAGTTAACATACAGCTATATATTAACGCACTCTTGTCTATTACCTTAACGCACTCTATCTATTACCTTAACGCACTCTGTCTATTACCTTAACGCACTCTGTCTATTAGCATAACGCACTCTGTTTATTAACCTTAACGCACTCTTGTTTATTACCTTAACGCACTCTTGTCTATTACCTTACACCCACTCTGTCCATTAGCTTAACGCACTCTATCGTTAACTGTTCATTTTGAATGGTTAAAATCTGGGCTAGTGTGACTATTACTGTAGATTTTTCAGGTCAGGTCAGGTTAGGTTAGGTTAGAAGGAGGATGGTAGAATCTGAGGTAACAATGTACCCCTTCCCCCCCTCCCCCTCCCCCCCCCCTTCACTTAGCCCCATTCATCGCGCACCATTAAATTGCGTCGTGTTGTGGAAAATGTTATCAATGTATGGAAACTCAGGGTAACCTAAGACAAGTAATAGACGATTGACTCTCTGAATGGCTAAGGTCATCTTTATCTTCTCTCTTGTAGTAAAGGGATCCAATTCCTTGTTGCCGACGCGCTTAAAGTTCCCCGTTAAGTGTGATCTAACGCAGGATAGTCGATCTTCGTCCATTGGTACTCTGCAATGGTTAGGTTAGGTTAAGATAGAACAACAAAAAACTACCTCAAAGATAACAAAATTAATACAGGTAAGTAAACTACCTCCACCATCACACCTGAGGAAGTACAGCAGCTGACGCAGGTGATGGTCGGTATCAGCAACCAGGTCCTCATAATGAACGACGTGTAGAGGCCCTACACTCCACAACAAGGTATCGACTGCCAGCTGTTCCCAGAGTCGAGTTACCTGCTCAACATACCTGTGGAAAGCTGTGCCGGGATATTAGTGGAGATGGTCTACTAGTGGAGATGGTCTACTAGTGGAGATGGTCTACTAGTGGAGATAGTCTACTAGTGGAGATAATCTACTAGCCCCTTGTCTACGGTGATTCATTACAGAGCAAAATCTAATTAATATTTGTATATTTTAGATCAATTTAATATTAGATAAACATCAGTAACAATACAACATCAACTCACAATTAGTCTCAAACATCTTCTCAGACAGCTGGCCCGTGTGTTTATCCTTGGCGTTACGAGTCCTTAGTAGCTTCCAGTAGGAGATGAAGGATCTGTCGCCATCAATAGAAAGTTTCATCAATTACATCAATAGAAAGTTTCATCAATTACATCAATAGAAAGTTTTTATCAATAATATCAATAGAAAGCTTCATCAATAACATCAATAGAAGGTTTCATCAATTACATCAATAGAAAGTTTTCATCAATTACATCAATAGAATATTTTTACTAATAACGTCAATAGAAAGTTTCATTAGTGACATCAATAGAAAGTGGTGAGACGGAAGGTATCACTACACCTCACAACACATCACAGCACAACACAGCACAGCACATCACCTCACAGCACAGCACATCACATTACAGCACATCACAGTACAGCACAGCACATCACATCACAACTATGGTCAAGACTCACTTAGCAGGGTGTCTCAGAAGGAGGATGGCAGGTAAAGTGGAGTTAATTAACAGGTATCTATCGAGTAAATCTTCCTTCGGGTTACCACTAAGAGAACCTCCATGTGTCTTCTGTACTATGGTTCTCCCGCTGTCAGGAGGTTCCTTCTCACCCAGGAACCCTACGTCAGGAAGGTGTTGCAGGGGGGGGGGGGTAAATGTGCTTAGATTTTAAATGTTTGTGATGATCGATTTTTTTTCACCATTTTTTTTTAGATTTTTGCCTGAACAATATTTTACTTTTTTTTTTTTATATATTTTTATTTGGGTTTAGATATTTTGATCTTTTTTTATACATTTATTGAAATATTTCTGGTTTTTTTGTTGTTGTTCAGTGAGTAAATCAATATTGTGTGGTAAATTTACTCATAATCTTTCCCTCACAACTCATAAATCCTTCCATTGTGAGTCGTGGTGATGATATTCCTCACTTCCCTGCGCTGAACTTGACTCATAACCCCTCACAGCTCACAACTCACAAATCCTTCCATTGTGAGTCGCGGTGGTGATACAATTTTTCACTAACCTGCGTTAAACAGAGTCTTGTCATTGAACACAGATCCCGTGAAGATCCCCGTCGACGCCTCCAGCAGGTAACGGGTCCACGTGTTGCCTGACGAAGGGAATGATACCAACCACACCCTCACTAGATTCCAGCCGAACCTGCCAGTGACCACACCTTGTTGGAATGGTTATGAGGCCTAATGTCTGTCACACCCTACCAAATTCTGCCATCGACCTTACATTTGACACAAGAACTGACCTGAATTGATCTGACCTGATTTGACCTGACACATGACACAGACCTGAATTGACTAGAATAGATCAAGTAGAAGATACAAATTATAGCTACAGCTAAATGATTCCCTAACTTAACCTAACCTAACCTGGTCGTGATCTGACTTGACCTAACCTGATCAAACATAACCTGACCAAATGTGACCTGATTTGACCTGACCTGACCTGGTTTTAAGGTTGACACAAGGACTCCCCGGGTCATCATCACGCCACAGCATCCAGCCAAAACCTTCCAATTTCACCTCATCTGAAAAATAAGATTAAATAAGTAATATACATAATTTAAACCTAACCTAACCTAACCTTGGGGCCTATTAAGAAAATGAGCCTATTAGAACTAAGGGTTCATTTATTCAAGGGGCTCATTAATTCAAAGGAGTCCATTAGTTCAAACGGCCCATCAATCCAAGGGGCCCATTAATTCAAGGAAACCATTAGATCAAGAGGCTCTTTAGTTCAAGGGCCCCATTAGATCAAAGGGCCCATTAGTTCAAGGGGCCCACTAGGTCAGGGGTCCATTAGCTATAGGGATCTATTATGTCAAGGAGCCCATTAGGTCAGGGGGTTCATTAGAACAAGGGGCCCATTAGTTCAAAGGGTTCATTAGGTCAAGGGGTCTATTAGCTCAAGGGCCCATCAGTTGACTTACCATTATTTCTCACAACTCGTCCATGAAGGGATTTTCTGATTTCCTTCAGCCTGGTGTCATCTGCTGGGGTTATGACACGGATATTAGTTGATGTGGCACTCTGATTAATTTGGTATGGCACTGTGTTCCTTAATATGGCACTATGGTTAATTTGAGATGACACTCATGATACAGAAATTCAATCTTTGTTACTTTTCTGTGATATAAACATACCTGTGTTAATTAAACCACAACTTACCTGTGTCTGACTGGAAGGAAGTAGAGGTGAAACTGTATGATAAAGAAGACTAATGAGAGAGAGTCGATATTGATTGTGAATAACGATAGTGACAAACGTATTTATTGAATTATTATTATTAGCATTATTATTATTATTATTATCCACGATATAATTTATCAGGTAAACAAACACACATGTACCTTGAGAAGACGCAGTATATCGATATCATGCTAATTAATGCCACCATTATCACAGGTAGTTGTTGGTTCGTTCGGAATCTCCTCGTCGACATTGTACCTGCAGGAAACATACACACAAATACTCATCTGAACATGTAGTAGCTCCATAATGCCTGAGATTTGATATTATTTAATTTAACGGTGATTCTACATAATTACACTAAATAACGATAAGGCGAACTAACTCTTGGTAATAATTCATGTCAGTTAGATCAATTCCTAACAACTTTTCAAATTAGTTTATGTTTGTCATATACCAAACAGGAGTTCTTGTGTTAACTGTCAATTCTAATCTTCCATTGTTATATTCCCTTTATTCTGTATCTCGTAAAAGCTGTCGTTAAGTTATGTCCCTCCTTCCATTCTCTATTCCTTAATACTAGATATACAGTCATCCATTTTCTTTCAACTAGGAAGGGGATACTTGTACAATCATTCGTTCCCATCCTCTCCCTCTCCCCCTCCCCCTCCCACTCCCTGCTGCCATCAGTCATATTTTGAGTCCTTAATCCGTGATGTTGTGTGGCTTAATGGCTTAATCTCTCATCTCCACTCCCAGAATTCATCATCTATCTTATCTCTTGTAACTTGTGTGTGTGTGTGTGTGTGTGTGTGTGTGTGTGTGTGTGTGTGTGTGTGTGTGTGTTCCTTTGTTGTCTCATGTTCCCTGGAATTGAAAATATCTATCTGATAATCTTCCTAAATCTTCCTCCTGCTCCTCCTCCCATCCCATCCCCTCCTCCTCCTCCTCCCATCCCTCCTCCTCCTGTTCATATTCCCTCCTTCTCATGCTAATCTTTCTCCTTCCCCTCCCCTCCTCCCTCTTGAGCCTCCTCTTCTTCCGCCCCCAACTCCTCTTCCTCATGTTCACTCCCTCCCTCTCCTCCCCCTCCCTATTCTCCTCCTTCTCCTCCTCCTTGGTAACTTTATCTCCTATAATATTCTCTCTCTCTCTCTCTCTCTCTCTCTCTCTCTCTCTCTCTCTCTCTCTCTCTCTCTCTCTCTCTCGTCTGCTATGCTTGGTGTCCATGAATTTTTTTTTCATGTGGATGTTTTCTTGTTTTCTAAGTGTTGATGAAGCTCTGGAGTGTTCCCTAAGTGTTGATGATGATGTTGTTTCTAAGTACTGGTGAAGTTCTCGTAGGATGCACTTCTTGAATCCTTCCCTCCCTAAAGATCTCATAGGATCCCTCTCTAAGGACTTCACAGGATCTTTTTTAGGTTGTACCTCTAGAATCCTTCCCTCTCTTAGGATCTCAGCTTTAGGACTTCTTGCAGGATGCACCTCTCGAGTCCTTCCCTCCCAAAAGACCACACAGGAAATCTTCTAGAATTCACAAAGTGTTTTTGGCGTTCCTGGCACTTAGTTTCGTCATTAGTCACTTATATAAAATTTTCCAGTGTTTTTTTTTCTTCACTTTTTCTCCTTAAATTAACTTTATTTTCCATTTAAGTGTTTACAATTTTTTTTTTAATTTACAATATTCATCTTTGTCTCGTCAGGTGAGTTAATGAGTTGCTGTAACCCTTTTGAGTACCTGAGTTTAGAGGTAAATTGAGGATTTATTTATTAATTTATTCATTTATTTCAATAGTGTATTCGTTGATTTATTTTCTGTTTATTCTATTAGTGTTTCGTTTCGTTTCGTTTCACCCACCTTATATATTTTCATTACTACAATTCAAAGATAAAAAACAACAGATAATCACTTCATTAACCTGTATGGGTGAGATATACCTGTGTGTTAATTATTGGCAAAGGTCCCAATTTGATAACCTAAGTCTGTCTAATTGTTTTTATGTCGATCCTATTAGAAATGGGGCCTAGTAGGGCTGGGGTCTATTATAACGGGGGCCTATTATAAATTCACTCAACTAGTTACCTTAATTAAAACTTATCTAGAGCAGCAAGGTGGTGTAGTTCTCAGGGCGATTGATAGATAACTTGCTGATTAGGCACAAACACGACTCTCTGTTACCTGTTGGGTGTCAGCTGTTGGGTGTCAGAACATGCACCTTGTTATGCATCAGTCCTAAGTGTATGTGAATGGAACAACGCTGAGACTTGGAGTACCTGAAGATTATGAACCCTAGTTTATTTCACCTGTTTATAAATATCCTAACCTACCCTACCCTACCCTACCCTTCCTTACCCTACCCTACCCTATCCTAACCCTACCCTACCTTACCCTACCCTACCCTACGCTAACCCTACCCTACCCTATCCTAACCCTACCCTACCCTACCCTACCCTACCCTTCCTTACCCGACCCTACCCTACCCTACCCTACCCTACCAAAAAAACCCTTTGGGTGCTACCCTAATACCCTATTAGGGTGCTTAATCATCAGTTGAAATAAGCTAAAGGAACCTAATCTTCTGGTGGTTCTCGAAATGTAATTCTCAACAACTCATTATTAATAAAATGATAATTACAGGATGTTTTCGTTCGTAATCAGAAGCAGCAGATAAAGATACGCTTTTTGATACATTGTTGAAGATGGAAAGAAGTAGTGTGTGTTACCCTCTTGCTTATCAGTACGGTGGTGGAGGGGGGTTGGGGGAAGCTTGTATCTCGTCACCTGTACACTGTCTTGCTTCCAACTATCTCATTATCTCGTTACAGTCTCGCTTTAGTGTCTCTCATCTGTGCATCTTATTAGAGACGTGAATATGTTACCTGGATATATTTGGGTACCTGATTTTACCGTTGAGGGAACTGGAGGAGGTTGAGTACAGTGTCGGCCACTATGGCTCCTTGTGTACCGAAAGTATTGTGTATTGTGTGTGTGTATTGTGTGTGTATTGTGTGGGTATTGTGTGGATATTGTGTGGGTATTGTTCCCTAACACGCCAAGCCTCCGGGACCAGCTCATGATCAATTTGTCAACACGAGGCTATATATAGTTCTATCACTGACTGTCACTATCACTGGGAGTCACCATCACCCTTCACCATCACTCGTCACCATCACCTATCACCATCACTAGCCCTCACCATCACTCCCCATCACTATCAGCTAACACCTGCTATATACCCTGGCTGGCTCCAACCTCCTGATAGCTGCCAAGTTGGATGTTACAGAGCGCTAATCAGAACACAGTGTAAAGGGGACAATCAGTAGACAATGTAGAGGGGGCCAATCAGAAGACAATGTAAACGAGACAATCAGAAGACATACATACCTGTATATGCGTCTAGTTGCCTTCAATCTGAGTAGCAATCAGAAGACACAGACATCAAATGACAATCAGAACTTATACTATTGCATAAATTGACATGAATTCGAGAGATAATCAGATAATGTACATAGTTGTTTGTATTTTCTGAGTGATTATTATTTTATACACTGTCACAGATCTGATGGTATATTCAATGTGGCAATCAGACCCCACATAACACCCTAGCACCGATCTTCAACTTAAATTACAATCAGAATACAAAGCACAATTAATCCTTGAACTTTGTCAATCAGAACAGGTGAAACTCTTCTTCGAGTCTGATTGGCTAGGATTTATACACCATCACAGAAAGTTGTTAATCAGAACACTTTTCCAGCACACCGATCGTTCTGAATGCCAGCACTAAACTGGTATGAGGGTGATACTGGTTTGTCTGGCCGGGCTATGGGAAGACTTGCATTGCTGCCGGGCCTCATATACACCTGTGAACACGCTTACTCAACAGGTGTGTGTGTGTGTGTGTGTGTGTGTGTGTGTGTGTGTGTTTATGCAGAGTTCGCAGTTTTACTTTTGAGAGTTGCTGAGTGGGAATCATTTGGCATACACACACACAATTTCTCTCTCTCTCTCTCTCGGCTCGATATATGCAAATACAACATTAATGGAAACTAAATACCCGATATTGTTGTTTCACTTAGGAAGAAAAAAGGAGTTTGTTTGACTTCTAGCTATCGTGTTTACCTTGCAGGAGAAACTTTACCTTTTTAGAGAAACTTTACATTGGTGGAGAAATTCCACTTTGGTGAAGAAGCTTATCAGAAACAATATGAAGATTACTGAAACTTATATATAGGGGAAATGGTATGGGAACCAGTTCAGAAGTAATGTTTGTGACAACTGCAAGATGATGGCGAGTAGGCAAGGTTGTGATCGCATTACTGCTAACTTCACAATTGTCTGGTGCTATATGATAACCTTCTACCACTAAATGTTTGCCTACATCCTCACATACAGTATAAGTATCACACTGGGGGAAAAAAAATATTGCACATTGTTGACATGTGCGTGAAACACTCACCTACTGTATGTGGTATTGGAGTATATACACATTGTTGTAGAGCTGTAGAGGCATTAGTTTGTACTATAGCTAATTCCCATGTAGCCTCTGCAGCCGATGTGAAAGCATAAGCATACGTCGGACAAACATGCATGAGTAAATATGTTGACTTACAATGATTTAGGACTTCATGCTTAGTCACAGCAACTAATGAAAAATCCTCTGATACTACTATTAGTTCAGTTTGTTTGTTCAGAATTAATATTCCCTCATTCGCTTACAATGGAAATAGTTCCAAATGCCATGCATCAAAAATATTTGTTTGTGATTTTAGTGGAATGTGTATTAGTATTTTCCTGTGTGTTAATGTTGCCTCTAATAAGGGATAATAATATTCCGCTTCATGCTCCTGAAAGAGAGTAGTTAGATGATATTTAGCTTCAGCTATATGTAAAGCGGCAATTAATTGACCAACTGGCAACAGCTGTGCATCAACCCGACCTAACCCTGCATTTACTAGATCAGCTATGAGCCTATTGTTGGTTTCTATGAAAACCCCACAAAATTAAACAGGCCACGTTTTGGACGCCGCTGAGAATGTACCTTCTTCCCGATGTCTTCAGGAGATACAGGGAGCTTTCCCTCGAAAGTGATTTACTCTCTTGAGTAGACTATGGATACGGTCGTGTTGAAGAGAGGTGTTCTTACGGATTGTTGTCGAGATCTTGCAAAGTTTGCTTAGCTGTTTCAATGTGGACAGCTACACCTCAGATGCACTGGCATGCGCATTAAGTCATGGAGCCCGTACTTAACAGTTACAACGTCTTGCACTACCAGTACTTGGCCTAGTGGGGCAACTAAAGGTCAGGGTTTGATGACGCCTGTTGGGGATGCGACTGTTGCTACCGCGCTCCAGACGGACAGGATAATTACCGATTTTTGTTTGCTGATCGTAGTTATTGACGATATGTATTGTCTATCGTTATATTTTGTTGAGCAACTGTTGTCGAAGAAGTAGGATGTACTTGACTGACATTAGGAGTCCCTACTAAGTCTCTACTGACTCTTTTCATTCTATTTACATGTACTATATCTGTGACATTTGTCGTTGGCTCAACTACTTGGAATTTGTTTCCATTTTCTTTCGCTCTAACCACGTGCGGACCTGTGAATTTAGACGAGAGTTTTGCTGTGCGGTCCGGCGCTTTTATCATTACTTTATCTCCTATTTCTAGTGTTATAGGCTTAGGTTTTTTATGTTGCTTGCAGATCATTTCAGCACGTGAGGCTGCTAAGTGTTTTCGTACTTTTCCATGGATGCTTGTGAAAACATTGATGTGCTTCTTGGCATAGTCATCCATGTTGTACACAGGTTCTAGGGTTCCTGCTAGTAGATCATATGGCAAGCGTTTATCGGTACCGTAAATTATGTAGTATGGCGATTTGCCTCTAAAGCTATTTATAGATCCATTGATGGACGCTGCAACCTGTGGAAGCCAGTCCTCCCACGAACTATGCATTGGATTCACCACATGTCGGAGAATCTTAAGAATTTTTTTATTCGCACGCTCAACCAACCCATTTGAGGATGGATGGTAGGCGGTTGTAAAGGTTTGTGTGATGTCATATTGTTGACAAATTGCTGCTAAGAGTTGATTCTTAAATTCTGCCCCGTTATCTGAGAGTATCACTCTTGGTGTAGAAAAAGGACAGATTAGATGAGTGACTAGTGCATGAGCCACTGATTCGGCGGACTTGTTCTTCAATAGTGCTAGTACCACAAATCTAGAGAAATGGTCAACGCAGACAAGTACGTAACTAGATCCTTGATGGCTTTTTGGTAGTTGCAATAAATCGATCGCAACTGTATCCCATGGACGTTCCGGCGTCGGGTATTCTAAGATTGGAGCGGGATCCATCGTTGTTCCCTTGTGTTTTTCACAAGATAAACATTTAGCAACGTGATGCTCGATGTCGGTCCTCATAGTTTTCTAATAATATTTTTGTCTAATTTCTGTTAGACATCTGTCTCGCCCCGGATGCCCAGAGCGAGACAGTAGAGGACGTATTTTCTAAATGTGTTTATTTAATTTTACCTTTTGCGCATTGTGCACGTAATATATTTATTTAAATTGACTACATGTGAAGAACTCTTGAAGTTCACTTGTGTCTGTGTAGTTTATAGAATAATGACTGTTTGTGAACTACCTGAGTGGAGAGTCCATGTAGCTTCGCGCTGGCTATGACGTCGGGAGTCGATGATGTCCTTCTCAGGGAGCGATGACGTCACGTCTTACGGCGATCCACCTTGGGGCTGACCTTCTTGCGGCGATCAGCTGGGGGCTGATCTGGGGCTGACCTCTGTGTTGGTGCGATCAGCCTGGGGACTGACCTTGGGCTGTCCTCTGTTGCACACCGACGAGTCTTGATTGTTTAAGCAAGAGATTGTTTGATTGTCTGGAACCTCTTTGACATCCTTCCTAAACTCCGGTGATGTAGTGTTAGCTGGTAGTAATCTCAGCCCACACTGAGGGTTTGACTGCTAAGTTGGCAATCTTTTATAATGTGTTTGTTACCACTGTGTCTCTATGTATACTTTCTGCAAGTGTTTATAGCTACTGTCCACTTAATTTTATTGTAATTGCTTGTTTGTTGATGATTCACTTAAAGTGCCACTTAAGTCACTGGAATCACTTGTTTCGTTTGTTTCTGAGTGTCTGACCGATTGTTCTTTTAATCCGCCTCACCGCTGCCACCAGTGTGTTGGTCCTTTCTTAAAGATATCACACACAAATATATATATTAGTTCTGGAACTAATAAGTGGCAGGGCTGATGTAAACACTTTGCTGGTTTTTCTCTATTGTAGAAAAATATAGTTTTATAGGTACTGAGTTCAGTTGCGAGTATATTGTACCTTCTCTGCTAAGGGAAGTGTCTTAGTGCACTTATAGGAGAACTCTTAAGTGAGGTGTTCTCTGGGTAACAAGTGATATGAGTCTGCCCACTCCTCCTTGCATGAGACACAAGGAGGAGTGGGCGAGGTATTTACAAGATCAGCTTGACCTGGCTCAACCTCTGATGAAGTTACAGACCTCAGCATGTATGACACGACCAACTACTGAGTCATTGTTGAATAACTTAGTGAATAATTGGGTATTATACCTTAAAGTAATATACATTTGGGTGAATATTTATATACAATACAAATGGTGCTGTTACACTTTACCTTGGTGGAGAAACTTTACCTTGGTGGAGAAACTTTACCTTGATGGAGAAACTTTACCTTGGTGGAGAAACTTTACCTTGGTGGAGAAACTTTACCTTGATGGAGAAAATTTACCTTGGTGGAGAAACTTTACCTTGGTGGAGAAACTTTACCTTGGTGGAGAAAATTTACCTTGAAGGAGAAACTCAGCAGGTAAATAAATATTACATGAAAACATAATTAATGGCAGCGTCTGGGAAAGTAATTTTTGACGACATATTTTCTTATTTTTTTTTTATTTATTTATTGTATTAAGTGTTGATGTATTTTAATGCTATTGTTATAAATATTTTTGTTCCTTAAGGTATTGTTGAATTATTTTTATTTTTCAGTATTAAGAAATAAGTTTTTTTTTGTGTGTGTGTGAGAGAGAGGTCAAACATCAATCACCAGGTAAGATTATCACCACACAACACAATTTCGTATACCTGTTTCTCGTCCCCCTAAAAAAAAAAATAATAATAATAATAAAATAAATCTTTTTTTTCATTCAGTGTAAAGTATTTAAGACCATTTTGGTGTTTCAGGAAGACTCGGGGAGAAATTACTCTGTCCGAACATATGAGTGGAAGTTTGTGTAACTGGTTATTTACAAAAATATTTACGTTTATTCATATTTTATAAATTTTGTGGTTATATTTTTCCTGGACTCACTGCTGCCGTGATGGTCTGTCTAGCCAATCAACGTTGAGGAGGTTCTGTTTCAACCAATCAACGTTGAGGAGGTTCTGTTTCAGCCAATCAGAGGAGAGTACTAAGACTCCATCCTTTCCGCTTCTCTTAGATGTGTCGTCTTCTATTGAACCATGAATGAGAGAGAGAGAGAGAGAGAGAGAGAGAGAGAGAGAGAGAGAGTTTACTGTAATGCTGACTCCTTACCCCCACTGCCTCTCTCAGGTGTAGTTGAATCAGCAGTATTCTTAATGAGGCAGGTAAAGCTCACACCTGTAAGTTACATATAGCATACTCTGTGTGTGTGTGTGTGTGTGCGCGCGCGCACCATGCTTCACGTCACATCTTGCCAGCCCACCTCCCTCCATCCCTCCCCTCCTCCCTCCATCCCTCCCCTCCCCCTCCCCCTCCATCCCTCCCTCCATCCCTCCCCACCTCCCT